ACGCAGTTACAGGCTAAGGAACGCCAGGGAGCGCCGACACCACCCAAAACCACGAAGACACGAGAAAATATTCTGTGCAGTTTCAGAGGGAACAGGCTGACGCCTTGATTTCAGACTTCTTGCCTCCACAACTGTGAGACAATAAATTTCTGTGTTTTCAGTCAGCCAGTGTTTCGTACTTTGTTATGGAAGTCCCACAGAACTAATGCAGTGGTAAATTATTGAAGGCCTTCTGCCTGAGATCAGGAATGAGCTGTGACTTCAATTAAATGTTGAATTTGATAGTCCTAGGTAGTAAAACAAGTCAAGAAAAAGAAAGAAAGAATAAGGAATGGAAAGAAAACTTTAAAACTGCTTGATGTGGAGGCTGTTATGATTGTGTACATTTTTAAAAATCAGGCCCTGGCTGGTGTGGCTCAGTGGACTGAAAGCCGGCCTGTGAACCAAAGGGTCACTGGTTCAATTCCCAGTCAGGGCACATACCTGGGTTGCAGGCCAGGTCCCCGGGAGGGGGCACATGAGAGGCAACCACACATTGATGTTTCCCTCTCTTTCTCCCTCCCTTTCCCTTTCTCTAAAAGTAAATAAATAAAATCTTTAAAAAAATCAATAGAAAACTGACTAGAATTAATAAGTGAGTTTAGAATTTCATTGCATAGAACACGCAAATATCAAATGTATTTCTACACATGCAACAATTATAAAATAGAAATATTTTTTATTAAAATTTTTTAATTTTCATTTTTTAAAAAGCTTTTAATGAGTTCACTGGGACGACATTGGTTAATAAAACCATACCGGTTTCAAGTGTACAACTCAATAAAACACCCTCTGCACACGGCATTGGGCGCCTGCCACCCAAAGTCAAATCTCTTTGCATCTCCGTTGAGTCCCCCTTAGCTCACTTCCACCTCCCTATCATTTTAACAGCATAAAACATCAAGTGTCTAGGAATAATTCTTATGAAAGTTTCCCAAAATATCTGCACTGAAAAATTATAAAATGTTATTGAGAGAAATTAGAGAAGATCTAGATAAATGGAAGGAAAGAGCATGTTCAGAGGTGAGAGGCTTCACAGTGTGGTAAAGACATCGATTCTCCCCAAATCCGTCTAAAATCTCCACAGAATCTTCCTCCCTCCGCCAAATTATCAGTGAATCCTCATGAGATCAGGATGCAAAGAGTCAAGAATACCCCAGACAATCGTGAAGAAACTGAAAAACAGGATTTTAAAAAAATCACACAATCAAGTAGAAAGACCTATTATAATGTTACAGGAATTAAGAGAATGTGACATTGGTACAAGGATAAGCAAACAGCTCGGACCCACATAGGGCACTGTCACCTGATACACAAAGGTGACACGACAGTACAGGCAGAAAAACGATGACCCACTCATCAAGTGGTGTTGGGTCAACCGAATACCTGTATAAAATAATGCATCTCTAGTCCTCCTATACTTCATAGCATATGAAAAACCTAATGCCAGATGGAGGGAAAATTTGAATGTGTAAGTTAAAACCCTAAAGCTCTTCGAATCAACATAATATATCTTCATGAGCTTGGGGTAGGCAAAGAAATTCAAAGCAGGACACAGACAATACCAACTGTGATTGGAAATGTCGACAAATCGGACTACGCTAAGATTAAGAACATCTGTTCCTCAAAAGATACATTAAGAAAGCAAAAATGAAGCCACATGTGCAATATATGTGTCTGAGGAAGGACTCCTATCCTGAGCAAAGAATGAATTCCTACAAATGACTAAGACAAAGGCCAACAATCCAAAAGAAAAAAATGGGCAAAAATCTTGACAATCACTTCACAAAAAATGATGTTCCAAATACCAATAAACATATGAAAAGCTACCCAACCTTCTTAGTCATCAAGGAAATGCAAATTAAAAGGCACAATGAGATCAAATTATCTACAAGCTAGAATGTCTGGTATTAAATCACAGACAGTGGGTGAATATGCAAAGTGACTAGATCACTCATATACTGTGGTGGGAATGTAATTAGAAGAGATATGTTTTAAATTTGTCAGTATCTACTCAAGCTGAACATTTGCAAGTTCTAGGAGCCAGCAGGACTCCCCAGAGATATATGAGGCATCTACATCTATATCTATATCTATAGATAATCATGTAAGTTGTATATATAAGATATATATGGCTTTCATGTATGAATATTCCTATACAGCATGGGACAAAAATAGGTGTGCAGCTGTTTGTGTGGAAAAATAATACAACCCTGCCTGCTGTGGCTCAGTGGAGTGAGTGCCGGCCTGTGAACCAAAGGGTGGTGGGTTCGATTCCTGGTCAGAGCACATGTCTGGGTTGCAGGCCAGGTCCCCAGTAAGGGGTGTGCAAGAGGCAACCTACGGATGTATCTGATGTTTCTCTCCCTCTCTCTAAAAATAAATAAATAAAATATTTTTAAAAAAGAAAATAATAAAAATAATTTATAAATAATAAAATAACACTACAAGAATAAACTGTGTTTCATGTACTCGCAACTGGAAACCTACTTTTGCCCCTCCTGTATTGATATCATATATATATGCCATATAGCATATACATATAATCAGGTGAGCCATTTCTTGGGGAGCCTTACATTCTCTTACATGGCCCGGAAGGAAGACTATATTTTTCAGCTTCCCATACTTAAGGTTGGGACCTCAGTTGACGTTACTCTCATAATGACCAAAAGCTTCACGCTTTAAACATACTTTAAAGTTTTTTCAAATTATCCTGTTATCTCAGGTTGAGGGAGGGCACTAAGTTTCCTGTTTATTCTGCCTGTGGACTTTCTGGCCCCTGCCTTTCTAAGCACAAGTGTTATTCATTTCTCTTGTTTTATCTACCGTTTCTTTATGTTGGGAATGGAAGTGAGAGAGGGGCCCTACTCTCGAAACGTTCTACACTCCTCTCTTCATTGTACAAATGAAAAAGCTGAGTCCCATGGATGGGGATGAATATAGCCAAACTCACAGACCAACTTACAGGCACAGCAGACGAGAATTTATTTTTCCGCACGTCAGCTCTAAATTATAAACTGAGTGCATGGATTGTGCTTGTAGGCCCTCCAGGCGCCTAGCAGTACACAGGGCATAAATAAATACTATTGACCTGTTGTCCCATTGGAAAGTGGTTTATTTCCAGGTTTCTAGTATTATGAGGTACAAGGGACACCAGGAAGTAGTTACGCTTTCAGGAACATGACCTTAAATGTCCATACTCAAGATATACGAACTCCTTGGGCCCCTCTGGGCTTGGATCCCTCTAGGATGGAGGGCGGAGCTTTGAGGCCCTTTCAGGACGGGTGTAGGTGAGTCAGTGCGGTGATCACGTGGCCAGCGGACATGGTGTGCCAGAGAATCTTACAGCCCATGCTTCCTTTGCCTCCTCAGTTGTGCTGTTGGGTTTTATGTGCTTTCTCTGAGTCCCTTTCTGCAAGCGGCCCATGCCCCGTACTCGGTCCTTCGCCGTGTGCCAGCTCTGTGTGCATCCAGACCGCCACAGATGGTGTGCAACTCAGCAGCCAGATGAAGCGAAGGGCAGGCCTGTCTGCTCACCAGCTAACGTGGCCCTGGCGTCCCCTCGCCTGGCCGAATGCCTTTTTCGAGGCAAGCCCTCAACAGCTGTCACCTCCTCTAGAATCCTTATCGCTATCTGGATCCTGGCTTCCTCCCTCCCTTCAGGATCCTTTCACAGTTATGGGAGGCTTTAATGATTATTTGTTTACACAGGCACCTGTTAACAGGTGTGGATTTGCTGTAAGATACTTCCTTGCAAGGCTGTTCCTTTCCTTTGTTTTCCCAAATCAAATAACTGGCTCAATTGTCCGTCCCTGCTGCTGGGGTAAATTCAAGGACAGTCACGTTTTTGTGAACCTTCCCCTAGTTTTAGGTGTTCTCCGAGAATCCTGCCTCTTAGTTCAGAGAGGAGGGCATAGCCTCTGCGGGCGCAGAGCCCCGGGTGCGTTTCAGAGGCTGCGGGCCCTGAAGGACGGGGAGCGGCAGCGCCCCCTGCTGGCCGCACGGAGCCCTGCTGCACTCAGCTGCCTGCCACCGGCTGGCTCCGAGCAAAACAGAGCAGAACAGCCTCTGCCCCTTCCTCTTCCAGAGCCACTCCCCCTCCTCATCGTCTAGGACTTGACTTAGCCCCTGACCCCCTTGTCCTCTCAGAGAGTCCTCTTGGCACTTAACTCTCTCGCTGGCTCACAAATAGCCCAGAGCACACCACCGCCTTCCAGTAAGAAGGTGGGAGTTAACTTTTCAATCTTTTGAATCTCCCTTAGAAGACAATGGCACACGAAGGAGAAAACCACCTGGGATGCCATCACACACTTTTTTGCAGCTTCCTTCCCCGCTGTCAAATAGCCCCCCGGCCGTCTTCGCCGCTCCTCTGGGCACTTCCAGGATCTGGCTGAGAATCAGGCTGGCGGCGCTGAAAGAACATCTGGGTCCGGTGGGAGGTCGGAGGGGGCTTCCTCTCAGGTCTGTCTCCTCTGGTTGGAGGGACGCTCGAACCCGTGGGAGCCCGGTTCCTGGCCGCTGTCACCCAGCCACCAGCGTGGAAGAGGACTGCACCCCAGAATAGTGCCGGCGTTCTCCCAAGGGCTTTGTCCCAGATCAGCTTCTATCTGATAGCCACAGGGAGCGCAGTGGGAACAAAGGACAGCCGAGCCGGCCCCAAGCATCGCCCGGCGTGGTCTGACGGGCAGTGCTGAGGGAGGGCTCCCTGGAGACGGAGGCAGGCCGGGCGGACCTCCTACTTGCACCGCGGGCTGCAGTTCTCCAGGCAGCCGGCTGGGGTGGGGGCCGGGGGCGGGGCTCGTCACGTGGAGACGCTCGGGGGCGGGCGGGGGCGCGCTCAGCGCTTTAAAGGCGCGCGAGCCGAGCCGGGAGAGGCGGCTCCGCGCGCAGGAGCAGGCCCGGCTGACGGCTGACAGCCGAGACGCGGGGCGCGCCCGCCCGCGGCTGCTCCGGGACCCAACATGCGCCGCTCGGTCTGGCTGGCGCTGGCCGCGTCGCTCCTGCACGGTAAAGCCGCGGGGCTCCCCACACTCCACTCCTCGTCCTGGGCGCAACCCGGGTGGCTCAGAGCGCCCCGCGTCCGGGCCAGCTTTGGGGGTCCCCAGGGGATATCGGAGGCTGCCCGGGGAGCACTACTCCCGCTCGTTTGAGCTGCGCTGATCGGGTGGCTGGGATCGCAGGCAGGGGGGCGTAAGGCACACCCCCGCCGCCGGCCTTCCCTGAGCAGCCTGCCCGGCTCTTCTCTCCTGAAGTGTCCCTGCAAGGCGAGTTCCAGAGGAAGCTCTACAAGGAGCTGGTCAAGAACTACAACCCCTTGGAGAGGCCCGTGGCCAACGACTCGCAGCCGCTCACCGTCTACTTCTCCCTGAGCCTCCTGCAGATCATGGACGTGGTGAGTCCCTTCGCGGCCTCAGCGCTGCCCTCTCCCCGCCGCGGGCTCCCGGGGTCGTGGAAGTGGCGGGCGGTCGGGCGTTGTGGCTTGGCCGCGACACCCTCGCTGGCCCAGGGCCAGGCAGGGCCGTGCTCTGACCCCGGCCCGGCCTGCCCTCGGCTGCGTGCCTCAGTCTCCCCACCTGCCAAAGAGGAACCAGCGAAGCTGTTCCACCGCCCCGGCCACCTGTGCATGGCACTTCAGTGCCGCCTGTCCCCACCCCCCACCCCCTGACCCCTCTTAGAAACTCAGGGCGAAAGTATCCCAGCCAAGAGTGAGCAAGAGCAGGGGCCGAGTGGCCATATCTTAGTCCCACATACAGAATAAGTGTTGGCATACAGTCTGATACTTGGTGTCACTTAGCCATCCACAGACTTTTCTGATGCCCGTGGTAGGGAGTTTCTTTGAGGAGGGGCCTGGCTCTGGGCTTTCTGTCCAGGCAGGGGGCTGGCTGGCTTTGAGCATTTAGGACGCCCCCCCCCCCCGCCCCCATTTCAAGAATGCACATGTGCTGCTTCCTGATGAGGGTGGTGCTGGTAGCGCCGCCCTGGCGACGAGCGAGGCTGCGCCCCCGGGCGCCCTGGGCTGTCCCTTCAGGCCGCTGCCCCACCCCAGGGCTTCCTGCCCTGCAGACTCCCGGGCGCTCGCTTCAGTTGCCCGACCTCAGCAATGGCCGTGTAACTTTGTTCTTTTGCTCGTCTAGACGGCTTTGAATAGTCCATTTTCATCGGCGTAGCCGAGCCACAGTACACATACTTTACCAAATGGTTCATTCATTATAAATGGGTTGGAGCGTCTGTCTGTGCCAGGCATTGGATTCCGCGCCGGCGCGGGTGGCGCGCAGGGACAACGGTGCCCAGCGGGAGGGAAGAATAGCGCAGGAAAGAGGCGTGACAATAGCCGCGGCTGCTCGGACGAAGCGCTGAGCGCCACCGGAGGGGCTCAGAATAGTCGGGCACGGACACAGGTGATGTGTCGTAGGCCTACAGGTAACGAGTACCCGGAGGACCACGGTGGCCCCGGATAGGAGGTCCGCCCGTGGGCAAAGTCACACACACACAGGGATGCAGACAGCAGGTACTCCTGCCAGACAGACAGCCGCGCGGCACGACCGGCTTCGGCAACAAACGCGAGCAAGAGACGGACGCAGACGCTGGGGAGCCCCGGGAGCTGCCCGGGCTGAGCGCCGCCGCCGCCGCCACCGCTAAGGGGGCTCAGGCCTACCTGCACGGTCGCCGCGGAGCGTCCCGGCCGCACTGCCCGGAGCCCTGGGCCTCAGAACGACGGGAACGAGGGGCACAGCAGCGCAACAGCGCCCCCGCGGCTTCCGGTCCCGGAGTGGCTCCTCCCGGCAGGCAGTGCGCCAGGCACGCGCCTGGCGTGTGCGCATGCGCGGCTCCGGGGTTTCCCAGGGCCCTGGGCACGTGCCGCTGCGCGGAGGTGGCCTTGCTGCACGGGACCAGCTTCTCTGCAACAGAGAAGATAACGACGTCCTGGAGGAGACTGGTGAGCCGGCGGGAGGTTAGTTATCGGGGACCTGGGGAATCCTCCAACGTGAGAGGGGCCTGTGAGCGCCATTGCGGACGTCGCCCTCCACCTCCGTAGGATGGGTGGGGGCGCTCTTCAGGTGCTCGGCCCGTCTGCATGGTGACCCCAGTGTAAGTCCTAGCCTCGGCAGCGGGACAAGGAAGAGGCATAAAAGGCGTACACACTGGAAGGGAAGAAGTAAAACTCTCGTTACTTGTAGAGGGCATGGGACTCTATACTAGGAGTCCCCAGCCGTGGGGCCAGGGACTGGGACCGGGGCCTGTTAGGAACCTGGCACTCAGCAGGATGTGAGCTTGAATGTAATGTGCTTGAATCGTGCCAAAACCGTCCCCCCACCGCGGTCTGTGGAAAAACTGTCTGCCAGAAACAGGTCCCTGGTGCTAAAAAGGTTGGGGACCGCTGCTCTGTACAGAAAATCCTGAAGACTACACACACACACGCACACCCCTATTAGAATTAACAAATTGTAAATTTGTAGGATACAGAATTAATGTGTAGAAATCTGTTGCATTTCTAGACACTAATGAGAAATAATCAAAAGAAAAATGTTAAGTAAACAATTCCATTTACAATTGCATCAAAAAGTATAAAATGCCTAGGAATAAATTTAACCAAGGACATAAAAGACCTGTACTCTGAAAACCATAAGGCACTGAAGAAAGAAATTAAACAAGATGCAATTGAGTAGAAGGGTACACCTTGCTCATAGATTGGAAGGATTAATATTGTTTCAAATGTCCTTACTACTGAAACTACGATACAGATTGAATGCAATCCAATGGTGTTCTTACAGTTAGAACAACTAATCCTACAGTTTAGATGGCACCACAAAAGACCCCGCATAACCAAAGAAATCTTGAGAAAGAACAAACTGGGAGGTATCAGAATCCCTAATATCAAACTACCCGACAAAGCTACAATATTAAAAACAAGACAGTACTACACAGCCCAGAAATAAATTCTCAGTTAATCTATGGCAAAGAAGGCAAAGATATACAGGGTTGGGAAAAGTAACTTTATAGTTGTTTGTGTGGAAAAAGACACGCAGATATCTTTTAAATTAATTAAAAATACAAAAATAAACTGTTTTTGCGTACTCACAACTGTAAACCTACTTTCACCCACCCCTGTATAAAGGAGTAATGGCAGTCTTAAATAGTTGGTGTTGGGATATCTAGACAGATGCATGCAAAAAAAAAAATTAAATTGGCCCACTTTCTTGCACTATGTACAAAAATAAACTCAAAATTGATTAAAGTTTTCAATGTTAGGTCCCAAACCATAGCTCCTAGAAGAAAACATAGGCAGTAAGATTTTGACATTGCTCTTAGCAGTATCTTTTTTGCTATATCTCTTCAAGCAAGGGAAACAAAAGCTCAAAATAAACAAATGGGACTACATCAAAATGAAAAGTTTTTTTTTACAGTGGAGAAAACCATCAACAAAACAAAAAGACAACCTACTGAATGGGAGAGAGTATTTACAAATGATACATCTGAGAAGGGGTTAATGTCCAAAGTATATAATTAACTCATACAACTTAACACCAAAAAAACAATAATTTGATTAAAAAATAAACATCAGGGAAATGCATATTAAAACCACAACGAGGTACCACCTCACACCTGTCAGAATGGCCATTGTCAGTAAGTTCACAAACAACAAGTGCTGGTGAGGGTGTGGAAGGGTGTGCAGGAAAGGGAACCCTCATGCACTGCTGGTGGGATTGTGTATTGGTGCAGCCACTAGAGAAAATAGTGTGGAGATTCCTCAAAAAATTAAAAACAGAGCTATCATACTATCCAGCAATTCCACTTCTGGGCATTTATCTGAAGAAAACAACAACACTAATTCAAAAAGATCATGCATCCTTATGTTCATTGCAACATTACTGGTAATAGCCAAGCTATGGAAGCAACCTAGGTGTCCATCCATAGATGGATGTATAAAAAAGATGTGAATCTCTCTCTCTCTCTCTCTCTCTCCCTCTCTCTCTCCCTCCCTCCCTCCCTCTCCCTCTCTCTCTCTCTCAGAGAGAGATAACAATTAGAAAAATGAAATTTTACCATTTGCAAAAACATGGATAAACCTAGAGACATTATGTTAAATGAAAGAAGTCAGACAGAGAAAGACAAATACTGCGTGATTTCACTTATATGTGGAATCTAAAAAAACAAATGAATAAACAAAACAGCAACAGATACACAGATACAGAGAATAAGCTGGTGGTTGCCACGGGCGAGGGGTGGGGAGGGGAAAAAAGAGTGCCCACACTCCCACGCTGATCCGGATTGCGCCACTTAACCTAATTAAAGTGGCTGTGATGAATGGCTTCCTTTCTCACGCTACACCTATGTTAAATGTGAACTTCCTCCTACAGATAGAACTGCGCTTTAAAATACTGAATGTGTGTGAGGATGGAGACAAATCATCGTAGGAGGGGGCTGTAACGGAAGACAAGTACTGTCACATAGTTTACAAAAGAGCAAAACTTGCTCTATGCAGAGCTTGGACTGCAGGGAAAGAGAGGATGGAGATTTTGAGTTAAGGGAAGAGAGACTGAAAAGCAGCTCTAGGGTTGAGCTGAGCTAGACCGGAGAAATGGCAACATGTGTGTGTGTGGGGGGGGTCACTTAGGGGACAAGTAATTTACAGAGCGACTTCTCTGTTATTTGAGGGAGCGATTTGTACTTGGGAGCCTTGGTAGATTCTGGCTCTGCTCATTTCTGCATGGCTGGTCTGGCCAAAATTTCTTAAATGTTCCAAGTCTGTACTTTCCTGTTGAAGAAATGGACACGCTGGCGTGTCATTGGTCATCGTGATGAGCTCAGGAATGTGGAGGCAACTTTGAGAGGCCACAAAGCTACACACGGGACTGTGGTCATTTTCATCAAGGCAAAAACCAGCCTCCTCCCACTCCCTGACAGCAGACTCGGCAGCTGAGCTGACACGCTGTGCGAGTGGTGCGTGAGAGGGTGAGGGTGAAGTCAGCCCCCCGCGCCCCCGCCCAGGCCTGACTCCTGCCAGACGCCTCACCAGCTGTGAGCCCCATGGTTGCCTCGCTTGGCCTGGTCCCTGTGCTGAACGGGTGCAATGTGAGGGTACAGTGGCCGCCAAGCTGAGGAGCGGAAGCAGCAGGCGTGTTGAGTCGACCTTCTGAGGGCTGCAGCAGTCTGGTTTGGGGACAAGACCATTCCGCAAGAAGCTGCAAGCTTCCTCCTGAGCGCCCCAGCCTTTTTAAGAGACCCGTGAGAAAGCAGGTGACAGGAAGGATTTGGGGTCTTGTGAGAAGCTTAGGCATAGGCTAGGGTGATGTGATGTGAAAATGAAAAACAAACCTTCGCAAACAAAGGCAAACTTCTTTGTCAAGTTAGGAAATGTAAAAGTAACAAATCGTAAGCACCAAGTGTCAT